GTTGGAGACGTACTATCCGGTTCAAGGCTGACAGAAAGTTTACTAGACATGTAAGAACACGGTTGGCTCAGAGAAAACCCGAACTCAATTTATCAACATGCGAAAAAGACTCTTGAGGTACTTACTGTTCACCAGGCTTAGAGAGAGGACTAGACATGCTCGTTGAAGTTCTCTGTTGCGCCATGAAGACCATTCATTCTTACAACCGATTAACCAAAAATTCGAAAAACAAAATTAAGAATTTAGAACTTCCAAGACCTTTTTGCTTTTATTTTTCTCCTTCTTTGACTGTATCTGACTTGGCTTTGAATTCTTCTTCTCCTCCTCGAGTAAAAGATCTGCTTCTGCTGCATCTGACTTGGCTTTGGATTCCATATTCACAATTTCATTCTAGATGAGAAAATACATGATAAGATATAAGAAACAATTCGAAGGCCAAATAAAACGGAAAAGGAAATCTCTGTCTATATATCCGAAGCTTCAAACTAACCAGCAAGAAAGGTTTCAGTAGTTGAAGGATGTAAGTGCGGTTGTCAAAAATAGAAAGCCTGGTGAGGTTTTTCAGTAAACTAATCCTTGAATTATCTACCAGCAAAATCTTTGAATCGATTAGCAGAATCTGTAAGTCATGTAGATACTTTAAGATGGCAATTTTATGTCATTATGTTGCAAATGAAAATTAAAAATCGTGAATGAACCTTGAAGGTGACCACTGATTTCAGAGATCTTAAGGACTTCAGCACTATATCATCGCTGAGACTTTTAAGCTCACTTATAAGATTCATGCAACCTTCAATATCGGGGAGATCAAATGTCAGATCCGAAGCTTCTTCGAGAATATCTCTCACTGCACACAAAAATAATTTTGTCTTGACGAAATTTCCCGGGAAACCCTCTTCGCAACTATTGCATAGGAGAGATGCATAGCTGTTCCACTGATCTTCCTTAAGATTTCTTCTCCTTTCATATTCGCTCTTACACAATTTCTCGGCGACAAGAAAGGCTGCAAAATAATCAAAGATCTGCACTTTCTTTGCATATTTGGTTCCCAAAGTCCTACATGTGAACTGAACAGCTCTCAGAACAGCCACCCAGATATCAAGATTATGTTCCCTGATAGGTCTGGGAAAAGTCTTCTCTACTGAATTGTAGTCAGTTAACCATGATATGATATCATCTCCTTGAGCATGTGCCTTGGCGTAGTGAACATTGGGATCGAAAACATTGATCTCCCCTTCATCAACAAAGGGAGCATTATTGCTTTTCAGCAATCTTCTGTCCAGAAGCAGAAATGAGAACTGCGGGTCAAAGTCAATCTTTTCTTTAGATCGAGTAGAACCCAAGATACTGTCCACTGCTCTGCAAACTAGATTTGTACCATCATCCCTTTCACACTTGATGCGTTTCAGTAATTTTAGGAAATAACTGAGTTTATGACATTCCAGAAAACAAATACACTGAGGTGTATCCACTAGGTGAGAATCGACAAGACTCTGTTCGGAAACGTTAAGATTTTTAAGATGCGTAACCGAATAATGCTTCACCCAGTCTCGAATGTTACAAGGGAGAATTTTTAGGTCACAAAACATCACAAGGAGATTTTTGATTTCCTTGAGTAACTTACTGCGCTCTTTATCCGCAGCTAAAGGCCATTCTTTGGACCATCCATTCTTATATGAAAACGCTTTCACGTCTGCAAGCCGATTTTTTATCATTTCAATGGCAGCTACTGTATCCACTGGTTCCCAACTTCCAACCGATATCTTACGAGCCCAGTCTTTCCCTATCCTTTTGGCCATATTCATTTCCAAAGAAGGCTTAAAATCTGCAGCATGTTCTTGTTCAAGATGATTCTTACATTCTTCAGCACTAGAGAACTTCTTCGAACATTTAGTTCGGCACATCCAGAATGTCCATTTTCTGTCTTCCCTGGCAGAATCGAGAATTCGCTTCAAAGCATCTCGTCCCGGTCTATGATGTACTCCCTTGACAAAACTTATAAGCTTTGCAATGCTTACTTTCAAGAAATCCCTTTTGACCTTAACATCCAAACCTAACCAAAACGACCTCAATCCTTTAAACTCATTACTAACCGGCGCTGGACTTTTCTTTGAGTTCAAAAGTTCTGGCTCACAGTCTTGTTGTAGTAAACCCTTCAGTTCTACAGTCTTGGAATCAGCGATCTCGGACTCTGCATCTTTGATTAAACTCTCCAGGTCTTCCTTCATATCTTTCTTTAGTTCTTCCAAAATCGCTTGAGCAAAAGACTCTGAGTCATCTGGGAAAGGAACAGATAAACCCTGTTTTGCTACAGTCACACATTTTTTGTAATACAATACTAACCCAAACTCTTCAGCCAAATAGTAGAGTGCATGTGCACAAGGTCGTGATAACAACACATCTTTCGACATACATCCTACAGAACCCAACATGTATGCGAAATCGAAGTACGGGTTCTCTGCTTTTGCCCCTAGATCATTGAACATATCACCTTGTTGTTTATGAAGAACCCACGAGTTCTTGTCTTCCTTATGGACTAAAATCATATCTTCGATTATCTCCAAGGCCTTGATGTGATCTCCATTAGCGAAGAGATCTTTTGCGTCTTGGTAGAGTTTAACTCTCTTAGCATCTTCCAGGAAAGTAGTAAGCTCCATGGTTACGATTCTGAAGATTCTTGCTTTTTCTTGATCTCTGCTTCAGAGAGGAATGTGGTTGCGAGAAGAAACAGAGTCAAGGCGGGAACTTCAACGAATATAACAGCAATGTACTATCACGTGAGAGCCACGTGACAAGGCTTGTAAAAAAACAAACAGATAACCAAAATTTGCGCATTGGGGAATTCTATCGAACACCTTATGTGCATTACCCGTTTGGGATTTTTCAAGAATAAATCAACAAAAGAAAACCCAAAATTTGTGTGAATCTTCGAATTTGGATTTAGGCCTAACTGTGAAATGGTCTTCATGTTTGGAAATGAACAAAATTCGGACTTGAAAGATCAGAAGCACGAGAGATTGATACGTGCCTATCTTTCACTTTTTGAAGGTGTTGGAGAAGAACCGAGACTTATTTAAAATTATCCACAAAATATTTTGTTTTATAAATAAAAAAGGGAGATTGATACAAATAGCCCCAAAAAAGTTGTTTTTTCCAAAAATAGCACCTCATTTGAAAAGTTCCACAAATAGCACCATAAACTTCAATTTAACTTAATGAAAATATAAGATAGAAAATAAAAAAGAGAGCAAACACTAATCTAATATTAAATTGAATCAAAATTGTTTTTAAATAGTGGAAATATATACCATAATTTGGAAATAGAGAACCCAAATATAATACCACAAACTAATATTAAAATAAAAATCTCTTTTAAATGGTAGAAATATATACCCTAAATTGGAAATAGGGAACCCAAATATAATACCATAAACTAATATTAAAATAAATCAAAATCTCTTTTAAATGGTAGAAATATATACCCTAAATTGGAAATAGAGAACCCAAATATAATATTTTAAATTTATTTCTAATTTATGTTGTTGAATAGCTTTTATATAAAAATTGTGGTATTATTGAAAAAAAAACTAGTGATAAAATTTTTTAAGAAAAAAAAACACTAATAGTAAGTTAACTAGTGCTATTTTTGGAAGTTTATGGAGTGTGTGCTATTATTGTCAATAAAACTTGTTTTAGGGCTATTTTTAGGAATTTCTCAATAAAAAAAAATACTTTTAGTCACTTTTTAATATTTAAGATTATTTATTTCTAGGGACATCAAACATTCACTAAAAAAAATATAATTTGTAGTTGAGATCAATTGAGTTATAAAAATCTTAATATTTTTTTCTATAAAAATATTTTATAAATTGATTATTGTATAATGTACTTTACTTCTAAAGCTAACTAGTAACTCCTAGTTAAATGGTGAGATAATCCACTATTAAAAATTCCTGAATAAACCTCGTTTACATGTCTAGCTAATTAGTCTCGGGCTTCTTTGAGGATTATGCATTTGATGATATATATTTCTCAATCTTTTTATTTTGAATTTGAATACTTTAACGTTTTCTTTACCTAATTTTGTATTTAAATTAGTTGCTGAACTTTGATATTTTTTTTTTAATTAAAACTATTCAATAACGACATATGTTTGCCTTGGTGCTAGCCACATATTTAGCAATTAGCATATAAAATTGTGGCTGATTAGTCACATTTTTCTGTTGAAAATTGGGGTTACTAGCAACGAATAAGATTATGGAAAATCATAGCAAGTATAGTCATATATGGAAATTCGGTGGAAATGATAGTCAAAGAGTTTTCGTGACTATATCGTGGATACATCAAGATATATGATTTGTGACTACCCATGGCCAAATTGCCATTCAATATCCATGGAACTCGATATATAGCTATGAGGTTATAGCCAAAATTTGTATGTGTTTGGTCAGAGAATATGTTGATTGATGATGTGATGATCGTGATATGCATGAGATGTTGTGATGGTATAAGAATATGGTTATAGCTCAAGTGTTGTAGTTATTTTGTAAACATAGCCATGACAAGTATATATGTTGCAGTTTTCTTATTGGTATGTGAGCATGGTCAGGTCAGCCATATAGTGGCCAAAAATGGCTGACGAACCTAGAAAGAGCCGTTTTGGATGGAGAAAGAAATGATTAAAATATGTACGTGTGTGAGGTTATACCAGAAGATATTCCTAAAACTAATTCAATGAGGCAACAAATTATACAATACGAGCCACGAGGGATAGTATATATATACTATATGATGTTTATTATAAGAGGGGAGTGTTGAGAAGAGGGAGTTGGCTCAAAAACATTAAAAAAAAAAAAGAGAGAAACTAATAAAAGTTGAAATTAAAAAGTTATATTTAAGAAATAAAAAGAGGAAAATAAATAAGAAAAATAAGCATACATAAAATAATATAAATTCAAACAATACTTAATGAAATAAAAATATTTTTCAATTTCGTAATATCCAATTACATTTTCATCTCCTTTAGAATAGTGATCCTGCATCACCACCAAACAAGTCTCCTCCACCACCGTCACCCACTCCACCACCAAACATGTCTCCTCCACCACCGTCACCCACTCCACCATTAGCATCACCGCCACCACCAATGAGCATGTTCATCGCAAAGCCTTGGCACAAACCTCGCACCATTGTATTCATCAACATTGGGTTGCCAAGTCCAGTAGGTCCATTGGGTCCACCATTCGCCATGTTAGGTCTTCCATTGGGTCTATATTGGACGGGTCGACCCATAGTTCTCGGCTGAATCCTATTTGCACCTTGGTTCACGTTTCCATACCTGTTCATGTTTGTACCACCTCGTCGATACATGCCCATATTCCTTTGCCTACCATTTAGACCGTATTGGTTCTGGTTATTCATTCCTGGTCCACCAACCGGCCCAACCATTGGTGCATACTGGTTATTGGGCTCTTCATTTAAACCACTATATTGTGCATCATCCATAGTCCCATAAGATTCATTCTCATCATACATAGACTCACTTCCTCCAGTGATGTCGCTATAGCTTTCAAAATCGTTTTCACCATAATTCTCATCATAACCTTGATCATAGCCATCATCGCCGAAGTCAACTTCAACTTCAAAGTCACAATCACCATCACCATCACCACCAGCATAATTATCACCATAACTCTCCTCGTAGCCAACATTATCTTCACCAACATATACATCAGTGCCAACATATACATCAGTGCCATAAACTTCGTTGTAGTTATCATTGTTGCCACCATTATCTACTGCATTGGACGGTCCACCACTAGGCCCATTAAATCCTTGAGGTGCAATAAATGCAGATGTGTCACGAGGTCTATTAACTCTTACACTCACAGCCCCACCACGAGCTCTTGTTGCATTGTTACGAACATTTTGCACACTTCTAGTTTGAGTTCCTCTAGGGCTTTGTATTGGACTTACAGCCCCACCACGAGCTCTTGTTGCATTGTTACGAACATTTTGCACTCTTCTAGTTTGAGGTCCCCTAGGGCTTTGTATTGGACTCTTGGATCCTTGAACCCCACCACGTGGCCCATTACCAACCATATTCTTAGACCGATCGGCCTGACCATTCCGGTTTGTGTTTTTTTTCCTCCCACCACCCGAGCCTTGGTTCATACGAACCGGTCCTGGTCCTTGTGTGTTATCCAGAGATGGTGGATAGAGATCAGCATCAGATAAATCATTACATTGGCTACGAGCATCACTACTGCCTCCAAAATCACTCTCACTATAAGAAACACTTAAATTATCACCACAAGCCACAATTTCAAGCCCGTTACCATCAACATCTTCTCCGTCGTTGTTACCCTCTTCAAGATTCACATCACCTTCATATTCAACCTCGACCTCGACATCAATATCAACATCAACATCAACTTCAACGTCAAATTCTTCATTCCCTGCACTACCATCGTAGCCACTACCATCCATTGATCCTTGACCAATAAGTTCATTCGGTCCAATAGGCCCAATCTGAGCATTATAAGCCAAGTTGTTGTTGTTCTGTCCTCTTGGTTCATAGGCAGCCGCGTTTTGAGCTATAGGCCTATTAGGATTACCGATGGGCCTATTGGGATTACCGATGGGTCTATTGGGCCTTGTCATAGGCATGGGTCTGGGCCTGTTACTGCCTTGATTAGGCATAGGAAGCGAGTTTTGATGCTGAGGGTGACCGGCATGATGAGTCTGAGGATTAGGTGCAGAAGTACTATGTTGAAGGAGGTGAGGATTAGGAGCAGTGATGCAACCAACATGAGCGTCGAATTCGCAAGGGATACATCGATAAAGCCACTGATTCTTCCCGATCTTATGGCAGATGTCGCAAGAGAAACCTTTATTGGCTCCATAAGGGGATTGAAACGCAAGTTTAAGGTTGTGTTGCGGATGAGACTTGTGGATGATTGAGAGCGGCTTGTAAGCACAAATCGCGTGGATGTCAAAGTCGCAGATAGAGCATTGGTAGCTAAAACCCGTCCCGTGGACGCCACAACCATCACAGTTGAAGTATCCACCTTCATAGATAGGAGCCACAAGGAGACTAAGCGTGTGAGAAGGGTGAGACGGATGTGTTATTACCTGCTTCATCTTGCTACACGACTCATGGAGAAAGAAGTTGCATGGTCTACATGAATAAACACGGCCGTTGCCTCCGGCGAGTTTGCAAGCGGAGCACGGTGGTGATGACGTCGCCGTGGTTAGTTGAAGGCGGTGTGGGTGGCTGAAGTGGGTTATAAAGCTATTGTTTTGAGACGTGGGCTTCCCCATTTTTCTTTTTTTTGTGTGTTTTTTGGTTTTTGTGTTAGAAATGAGATTGTTACTTGTGAGAAACACAACTTAGAGTTAATAGAGATAATAGGGTTGACTTTGGTGTTAATAAAAGAGGGCTAAGTCAGTCAACGGAACGCGTTGCACGTCTCTTCATGTGTGATGAATAATACACATTGACTTTAACTAGTTGCACTTTCTAATTATATGTGGTTTGGTTCCTCTTATCTGTCTTTATTTTGTCTTGTATAGACATATAGTATTTGAATAAAACAAGAGGGTATATTTGATATTCTATTTTTTATTGGCCAAGAAATAGTTGGATCGTAATGCCTAATTTTCAAACATGGACGTTGTCTTCCTAATACATTGAATGTATCTAGCTTGCCACTAAATATCAAGTTGTTTGCGTTTACTCATAAGAATCCGATGATATACTATAACGTTTTCATACTACCAAGCCCGATACTCTACTAACTGGTACTCTCTTCTCAACACAATCACTGTGGGATGGCATGACAGAACAAAGAGCTTTGTCGCTCGATATGTACTTCACGCCACTCTCTACACCATCTGGCGGGAAAGAAATGGACGCAAACATGGTGAGAAACCAAACCCAGCTCCTCTTCTAACCACTTGGATCGATAGACAAGTGAGGAACAGACTCTCCTCCATTCGAAAAATGGGAGACAGACGATACGATAACAGTCTCCAAATCTGGTTTCAAGCAAGAAGTTAGACTCATAGTTCTCAATCTCAAACTTATTTCAGCTCTTGTTCTAAGCTAAAGTTGCACTTGTTGTACAAAAGACATTTTTTCTTTTGAATTTAATTTAACATTTAATTCAAAAAAAAAAAAAAAAAAGACATGTACCAATAATTGAAAAGACTACAATAACATTAATTTTCCTTTTTTTTTTTTTGGGGCATCAATTTTCATTTTCTGTTATAAAATCATATATGTCTAAGTCCGATGATATACTAAACGTTTTCATCATAAGTCATTTATATGATTTTACAACAGAAAATGAACATTGATGCCCCAAAAAAAAAGAAAAAGAAAATTCAAAATAAGTTTTTTTTTGCTTTGTTTTGTTCCTTCAAGTAAATAAGTTTTGTTCATACTTTTTTCATTTTCCGCATATTCAGATTCCCTGTATAACCAAGCCGTGCAATAATACCAGTCCACTACATTATAACCGGCTCATTCCGGGCTTGAACTTTTGTGCATGTCGATAACAAATTTTCTAAGATCTTCGAGCAAATTCTTGATCGTTTTTATGGTGATCTCACGGATGAACCAAGAAATCGGTGGCACATTAAGAAGAGAACAAGGCTGAAAGATTTGCTCCATTGTCACCTTTGATCCAATCCTTCCTTTTCCGCCACTACATTTTTTGTACTCTTCTTCATTAATCCGCGACCTAGACTTGCATAAGCGTTCCTGATCTGCGTATAGTGGCTCCACTTTCCAGCTACCCTCAAACACTTTCATGTACATCATTTTCTTTTTCTTATATTTTGCCTAAGCAAGAAATCAACAAAAAAATTACTTCATCCAAAACAAAAAAAAAAACAATTTGTTCATGTGAGGTGTTTGGAGAAGCTTCTTACAGTAAGATTTTGATGGTTTTCATCGATGATTAGATGTATCGGGATAGCTATAGGCAACCCAAGAATCTTATATCTCAAAGTTTTTTTCACTTCTGTGATCTGCCTCGGTCCGTCTTTCTTCAAAACCTTTGTTGATTTGTTGTCCTTGTTAGAAAATAAAAAGATTACACATTCAATTATTGATAATAACTCACACTAAATTTGAATCATACAACTATTTGAGAAAAAAAAAAAAACACAAACCAAACGCTGGCGAAATTACCTGTCGAATAATCTGAAGAAATTTAGGTTTCTTGGATTAGTAAGCATCTCAGAGACTAATTGAGGAGGCCATCCCAATGTGAATTCTATGTTCAAATTGCAAAGACCTTTTTTTCTTTTCACCTTCAAACATCAAAAATATGTATAACCAAATGTTAATTAAGCATTTAATTGTTTTCTTAGTTCTAGCAAAATTCCTCTAGCATTAGGATTTTGTTTGCTTATTATACTATTTACCTTCACCGTAGCAGGAGCATCATACCATGGATGCTTGTTATTAGGACCAGACCAAAGTTCTGCTTGCCTATTCACCTCAGCTAAGTCATAATATTTAGGATCGATAGCATACAATGGCATTGATCTAACATGCGAATTTTTCTTGTACTCGGCCTTCAACTTTGGGTCCACATCAGGATCCCAATACCAAGGTTCCTGAATATTAGTATCATTCTCTGAAACTGAACTAGATTTAACATTCTCAGGTATCTTGGACTCGGCCGCGGCCTACAACAACAAGCCTAGTTATGATCTCATTTTTATAGACTTCCTCGTTTGATTAATGGAAATAAAAAAACTGACCTTAAGAGGCTGTTGAATGTTCTGATTGATCAAGCCATCAAATCCAGTAAATACACCCATTTCTATTCGAAAGTTTAATTTTAGTCTATAAACTATACTTACCTGATGAGAGCAAGAGTACGTAAATGACTAGCTAAAGCTTGTATTTAACATGGTGTGAGTGATATTAAATACAATGTTTGCATGTTGAGAGAATGGTGCACGTTAAGTTTTACGTAAGACAAAAAAATGAAGTAGGCAGCTCCATTCTCGTGAGTTCTTGGCGTACGTACATGCGAGACCTACATGAGAAGAGAAAATATAGAAATTTGGTGCCAATATTAAATCTAATCGTGATTAAAAGCATAAATTGAAAATTATAGAATCATGAGTTTTGTGTTGAATTATAAAATCTAGATCTGATGAAAAAAACACAGAATCACACTAAAATTGTAATATTGCGTGTATTTTAAACCAATGTTCCACTTTAGTTATACTTTCTTAAGTAAAAAATCAAATATTTATAAGTTTTAGTGCACTTATCCCCATAATCTTATGCCAGAGCTAAAAGGTTTTATCCTAGATTGTATCTATACAACTTTTTATTTCTTAAGTTGTATTTTTGTTTTGTTGAATTCTTAAATAAAAAATAAATTTGATGCCCATCGGCCAATTTGTGCAACAACTCGTTTTGATATATCGATTTTTTTGTTCCAAAACTTTGAAAAAGTTGACAAGAATTTTCTTTCCTTTTTATTTTTTTTTGAATATTTGAAAGCCAAATATATAAAAATTCTCTTGAGATTATCTTCATCCCGGTTTCATAAAAACAAAAACAAACTGAAGCTAAGTCACACTCATGTGCAAAGTGCCTTAAAATCATCCGATCCAAGACTGTCCACACTATTGACGAGGAGACCTGGGCCATGCAAGATTAGCTCGACATCGAGGAGACTTGTTGGTCTATCAGTATATATGTCCCTCACCAAACCGTCTAGTTTAGAAAAATGTATTTACCAATGAAACTATATCCTTCTTGAGGGAATTTATAGTTTATTCTCGCTTTGAATCATCTTTTATTCCTCTTATATGTCCTAGAAACAATTACATCAGACATAGTGATCCGCTTAAAGACATTCACCATAACAGAATCAAGCATAATAGAGATGTAAAAACTAAAATTTTGCGAAACATATTCATTAATTCTAATGGCATTTTTGTAATTTCCTTAAAATTCTAAAGTTATATTTTGATAAGAACTTCTCCGAGAAAGTTAAAAAAAAAATGAAAAAAAAATATATATGAAAATTTTTTTAGTAAAAAAAGAAAGAGTTATAACTCAAAAAAAAAAAAGGAAAGGGACATGTATTAAAAATTTAAAAGTGAGCAAGAAGCAAACATGAGATACTAGTGCGTGCTTCTTGTATTCGCCTGTGATAGTGCGTCGAATTCTCTGCCTTCGGTCCTCACTAGGATCCGATCTACTTTTTCCGGTTAACCAGTGTTTTTCTCCGTTTTGCCCATTTTATATCTGTTTCTCTTTCTCCTTTTGTAAGATGCCAAGCCCAACCCATTTGGGAAGTCCATTAATGGAAATAGTTATTTATATTTAAAAAAAAAAAAAAACATGAGATACTAGAAACCCTAAATAACAAACAAACCCGCCGGCACTCTATCGTGAGAATAAACTGATAATGTCTGAGCTTCCCGGAGATTTGGTAGAGGAGATACTCTGTCGCGTTCCAACAACATCGCTGAACCGATTGCGATATACATGCAAACGATGGAACAGATTATTCAACCAAAGGAGATTCACAAGAAAGCATTTAGACAAAGCCGCAAAGCAGTTTCTTGTTCTCATGTTGAAGCAGCGTAGGGTTTGTTTGATGAGCGTCAATCTTAATGGAATTCCATCTTTAGAGGTCAAAGGTGAACTTAGCCTAATTGACCCTAATTCTAGTGTAGATCAGTTCATGATTTTTCATGTCTCTCACTGCGATGGTTTATTGTTATGTAACAATGTAAAGAAAGATAGAATCGTGGTTTGGAACCCATGTACTGGTGAAACCAGGTGGATCCAACCAAGAAAGATTGGTTATTATGTTCTTGGATCTTACCAAGACAAGAAATATGACAATACTAGCTACAAAATCTTGTGTTGTTGTGATTTTGACTACAACGAATTTGAAATATATGAGATTAACTCTAATTCGTGGAGGACTCTTGATTTCACTTTGGAGTGCGATATGGAATCTAATCAATGGGGTATGTCTTTAAAGGGAAAGAGTTACTGTTTTGCTTCAGATGAAAAAGAGGAACATCTTGGAATGTTCTTAGTCAGTTTTGACTATACAACCGAAAGATTTGAACGTCTGCCTCTTCCATATAAGTGTTCTTTTTATGAAGCCACGTCTCTATCTGTTGTTAGGGACGAGAAACTCTCCGTGTTATTAGAGCTCGAAAATACATCAAGGACAGAAATATGGGTGACAAATAAGATTGATCATGAGACCAAAGTTGTGTCATGGAGCAAGGTCTTAACAGTGGATTTGAAACCTGAACTTTATAATTGCTATGGTATAAGTTTCTTGGTCGATGTGGAGAAGAAAATTCTCATGTGTTGTGATATAAACTTTAGTGAAGAATTCAACTGCAAACACATGGACATGGTATACATTGTTGGAGAGGATAACAAAGTCGAAAAGGTGAATTTTGGATTGCCTTTATCTCTGCCATGTTTGTTTAACTATGTTCCAAGTTTGACTCAAATACAGCAAGGTTGAGGCAACAAAGAAAGGAACCCTGTGTGCATTTCCTCGACGGGCACACGTATAGGGTTCGGCCCAACGATTTACCTTGCCAACAACAGAAACGAATCACTTAGACTTGGTCATTTCCTTTGAATTATTTATAAACTAGTATTTCAACAAGAAGTTGTATTCTTCCCAATATTCCATACTTTTAGTCAACATAGTTTATTAAGTTTTATGATAAAAATTTCTTAACATAATTTGTAGTCAGAAGTCCACGGGACATCTCTTAAGTTATGCTATAAGAGTATTGTCCAAGATTAATGTACCAATTACGTAGATTCTGATTTATATAAAAGAAAATCTTATAGTTTCTGAAAATATTGTATCCTGCATTACATAGGAGTACTTGTTGGTCTAAATATTGGTACTTCTATATCATTCAACTTCTCATCAAACTTTCTATTTTTTTTTTTTTTTTGATCAACCAAGTTCTTCAATTAAAATCAAACGATTACAACTGAATTAAGCAATATCGAACATATCCGATGTACAAACCAAGTAGGTATTACATTAGAACATACAACAAGATAAAAGGATAGATACACAAACTCATTCAAGTTTGATAATGCGTCAGAAGAATTGTCGAAACGACCAATGCCGCAAGAACAAAGCTCTGGTTAACATCTTGGTTTATGTGGCTATAATTAAGCTCTAGTTCACAGCCTCATGTTTGTAAGATGTGAACTTGTGGTGGGTATGGCCAGTTGCAAGTACAGAATATCTGCATGTAATTGTCTCTGAACATGGCTAGTAAGTCTAGATACATGTACTTAACAACAAATATGGAGAAGCTCTTTTTTCGTATCACTACAACATGTCCGGCTCTATGCATGTGTTAGAGCACCATTATCAATGGTCTCTTAATTTTGGTTCTTAAGAATTTTTAGTATTAAATTTACATATTTTGGCTCTTAACTTTTTTTTTGTTCCTTAGCTAAGGAACCCATCTTAGATTTAATGCATTTGGAAACTAATTTTAATCAATTAAATGCTAAGATCATCTTAAGATTTTCTTAAGAACTCATTGATAAAGATGGTCTTAGAGATGCTTATGCACATAATCCATCTAATTTTGTTTTTTTTTAATAACTAAATTTATTAAAATTAGGGTCCAATTATTTTTTATAAAAAAACAAAATAGGAAATAAAGGCAATTCATTTTTCCAGTTCTACGTCCTTAATCTTTTTTGAGCCGGCTCTGCACTACAAATAGCCATTAGAGCATCCACAACATGGCTTCTCATATGAAGCTCTTTAAATTTTATGGATCAAAAATAAATCAAAATGGGCTATTTACTGAAGAATCGAATCTTTATTAAGAGGCTAAAAAGCCCCATAAGAGCTGGTCTTGTGTCACGTTTTAATTGGTGGAAAGCAGATTTATTGACACGGAGAAAATTCTCTTCTTTCTTGGGACTTCTTGAGTTCTTTCTCTTTTTTTTCTTCTTTCTCTTTAACTTAGCAATCTTATCTTCCTAAGGAACATTGATGAGCGAGAACAGTGGCGGAGCCAGAAATTTTGATTACCGGAATCATTTATAATTAATTATTTTTATTTATATATATATATTAATATTAAATTACAGTAGTATATGTTTAAATGATAAATTGATTAGTTCATTTGTGTTAAGAGCTAATCTGTCTAGATACCATATATATATATACCCGTAGTTCATTTTTTTTCTTTTGTATTAAGAGCTTTTTATTCTCAAAGTATATGGTATGTAGATATTGATTAGTTATTGTGTTTATCTTGATATATGACCTTTTAAAGAACAATTAAAAGATTTATAGCTATTTTTAAGGAAACAAAAAAATAAAAATGGAAAGAGAATTAATGGTAAAGAAAATAATAAATATGTATGGGGTCAAATAAAAAATCAATTGCATAGCATAGGGGTCATTTGAGTCTTAATTAATAGCGGTTGACAAAAAAAAAAGCATAGGGGTCATTGTAGAAAGTGTAAAGAAAAATATCCAGAAACCATTAGAAAACTTACCTTATAAAAAAAATTTTATAAATGTTATGGGGGTCAGCTGACCCCCCTGCCACTACACTGGCTCCGCTCCTGCGAGAACATTGACGTAGAGAATCAACAGCGGTCAAACTTTTTCAAATCCTAGAATTTTCATGTTTATTGTGAATTTTTTTTATCAACCACACATTAATTAAAAGTTAATTCTATGATTGGTTACTCTAATTTGGAAAAAAAAAATGTTTATAAAGTTGACTTCAGAAAATAATAAATTTAGAGTATCGAGCTAAACATGAATCCTTAAATTTTGTTTGTGGTTTTTATTCTAAATTAAAAAAGTTAATAACTTTTTAGTTTTTTTGTGTGAAATTTTTTCTCTTTGTAAAATTT